TTCAAAACACCTCCCTTTCTCAGACATGGGGAAGGACTGCTACCACACTCCAAGCAACTACCGACATGCCAGGAAGAGCATGGCTTGGGAGTGGGAGGGGATGGTGCAGGTTGTGCTACTCTTCTGGCACATTCTCTGCTCACCCTTCTACTCAGTCTGCTTTTTTTAATACATGGGATGACAACTGGGGCCATTCAGTTTGCAATATGGGAGCAGGAGAGAATTTATTTACAGATCACAAACGTACTCTACATTTTTAAAGAGGCGGTAAATGACAGACTCCCCAATACAAGTGAGCAGTGCTTTCATTTCCAAAGCCAAGCTGCAGCCTAGATTCATGCAAATGAGATCCAGAAGCCCCAAGAGGCAAACCGTAGTGGACTTGGAATTACCATGGGTAACACTGACTTCGTGGTCTACTGCCAGTGAATGCTCAATGACCTTGCTAAACAACTATTGTGAGTTACCACTGGCAGACAAATTATTCCAACTATGAGGACTAAAGCCTACAAAAATTCGTAAGTACTGTACAACAGAGTGTTTCCTTCTAGAGAACAGAGTATGTCTAAACCTGAAGGTGCTACAGCAACACAGCTATGCACCAGTAGTGCTGGTCGTATAGACACTTACTACAGCCCTAGAATGGTTTTTCCGTCACTGATGTAAATCCATCCCCTCACGAGGCAGTAGCTAGGTTGATGGAATAGTTCTTCTAGTGGGGTTTGGGTGACCTAGCTACATTATAGAAAGTGAAATTTTTCACAGCCCTGAGCAGTGTAGCTCCCTCGACCCACATTTTGGGTGTAGTCAGTCTGTATGAGGCCTGGTCATCAGCATTAGGTTAAAGATCACTAACTACTTGGTAAGTAAATGACCCTTCCCATTGATACCATTTAATCTCACCTGGACTGCAGCAGTCTTCAGCTATTCCATAACTAAATCATTTCTCCTCCTCCTCCTCCTCCCACCACCACACACACCACAGAGAGTACGTCACCCAGAAGAGACAAAATACAGCAAATCATTTTCTTCCTAAACCCCTTCCTCTCCCCCAGTCTCTGTATTTTGGGAAGGTCAGCGGATGCTCCACAGAAATGGGGCAAAGCTTTCAGACAATATGCAGTCTATCACAGGCAGTACATGCTTCAGTCTTGCCATGACAAACAAAACAAGTGGCGGGGGGGGGGGGGGGGGGTTGGGTGGGAAGGAGAGCAGAAGTCAATTAAGTTAGGATCAACTGGCAGAAAACAAGTTATAAAGCAGCTCATTACATATGGCTAGGTTCTGGAGACTGGTTTCTCTCTCTGGTTTTGGTGTTCTCAAATCACTAGAGCTTGTTTAACAGAGCAAGTGCCAGGATGCTGGGAAGATTTTTAAAGTGTTTCTAAAAAGCAATTTTCTGTGAGCTTATAGAATAGAGCAGCTGCCTTCAGCACAGACCCTCACAAAGGATGAGTAGCTTGGAAGAAGTTGTTTCCCTTGGCTCAGTAGGGAGATGGAGAGCTCTACAAGGCCTTGTGACTGGAACACTGAACAGAGGTCACTGGACAGCTCAGAACTGGGGCAGAATGCAGCGTCTGTCAGACCACAAACACCAACTAGGGTTAGAGAACCGAATGCCTCCTGCTACTCTTGCTACATTCTCATTTGCCCTCCCCACCACCTTGTCTTAGATTGAAGAATATGCAAAAGCTAGTCTGAATTTATGGAGTCTGCCATTCCAGGAGCTACATTTCTCTTCTTTCAACTTGTTATGGGGAAGGGAACCGCTGGCCTGTAATCTTGAAAGACCCACACAGTTCTACTCCAGCTGAAGAGGTTCCAAAACCTGCAGTCTAAGGGTATGTCTACCCAGGGATAAAAAAAACCTGTGGCTGGCCCAGATCTGCAGACTTGGGCTGGCGGGCTAAAAAACTGCTTGGCAGACATCCAGGCTCAGGCTGGAATCTGAGCCCTGGGACGCTGCAATAGTGGATGGTCCCGGAGCTCAGGCTCAGCAACTTTTAGCTCTGCAGCCCGTCAGCTGGCCTGGGTCAGTCACGGCTGTGTCACAGAGCTTTTATCCTAGTATAGACGTACACTTAGCAGTACACTTGGTGCCATTGTTGGGAGCAAAGAACATTCTTTAAAATTACACTAACGGTGACACTTAAAACCTTGGTTTAGTGTGGATCCTTCATACACTACCGTAAACCCCATAATAGCTGTGACTGAAGTGTTACCTAGAAGATAAAAGGCACATGATCAACATAAAAGCCACATTTATAATAACCTTACCTGTACTGACATATTAAAACCAAAATACTTCATAATTCTAAATGACTTTTACATACGTTACCTATTAACAACATTTGATTAACTCAGTTTTGAGAGTAGGAACCAGACTGGCTAGCTTCACTTTCACATTCTCATGCCCTCAAGTGACATTGGCCAAAATCTATTTTCTGGATAACATTTCTATTCTTAAATGTATTTCCTGTGAAACCTGCATTTTGGCTCCCCAAACAATTGGCTCTGTGGTCCTTGGAACAGTGCATTCTGCCACCAGAGGCAGGAGTTTGAAAAGGAACAAACATAATTTAATTTGAAGCACAAGTTAAGCATCCCAGACCTGCAGGAGCTGTTAAACAAGGCATAAAAGACCAGCCCAGGAAAAGTATAGAAGGTACGGAATGGGGAAGGGAACCTAAAGAAGGATACCTTATGGTAAAATCAAAATGAAAGCTCTTTTTCCTTTTCAGAAAGCAACCAAAAGAAAAAATGAACACGTTATTATACTTATGATCGAAAGCAACACATTCCTTTAGATAGTGCTAACAGAGTCCTACTTGTATGTTACTTTAAGAAATAATTCCCTCAAGTCACTGCCATCAGTGAGCACCATTTCTGAAGGAAACCAGAGCTAGGAGATAATTTCCCATCACTCCATGTGATAAATTGCATCTCTAACCTCTCTAATTTCCTATGTGGTACTTGTCTGAAAGCAGAAGTTGTTTGAACAGACCCATAAATAGATTCTAGAAACTCTAACAACCTCACATTTTAGCCAGGAAGTAAAGATACCAGGGAGTGAGGGCCTGTGGCAATGGTTGAGGAGCCAAATAAAATTCTTCATTATTTCACTTCAAAGTAGCCCCAGACAGACCAAGCAATCTCTGCATGGCTTCAGGCACAGTGCAACAAGAGGACCTGAAAGGTGTGATGCCAAGCCTATCTTTAAAAAGGGAAAAGATGGAGTCAGGTAACTATGATCTATTACAGGCTCACGTGAACTGCTGGAGTCTATCGTAAAAGATAGCTTGATGGAATGGGGTGGACAGACATGGGTGTAAATAGAAACCAGCACGCTTTAAAGAAATCTGAATAGCTGATCTCAGATGGAATTATCCTCCGAGTAAGGAGGTTACACAGGCTGTTGACAAGGGAAACACATGTGATGTCTAGCTAGATGTCAGAATGTTTTCAACAAAGTACCACTTGCAAACCTGATTCTTAGATCAACCAATCTGGGCATGGCAGAAAGTCAAAGTGGGTAAACTGGTTAAATGGGCATGCTCATTATAAACAGGAACTAGAAATGGAGAAGTCAAGGGGGAACCGAACAAGAATACAACAGTTAAAGCATGCAGGAAAGACAAAGGCAGCAATATTAGAACAAGTTAATGCTGTAGTAAAACGATTTAGAATTTTTCCCTGCTATTTGTGGAGAGAATGCAGTTTCATTCATAAATCAGGAGTGAGACAATCAATCATGATACTACAATGGTTAAGCAACCAAATGGCTAAAGTGTTGTTATTAGGTTAATATTATAGAAGAAAGTTTGGGCAGGAAGTAAGGGGGACATTAAAATATAGCTAATGAGAAAAGCAGATTAGAGTATTCAAATATTTACTAATCGGCAGGTCCAGAGATATCTAATTGTGGGGGCTATGGGAGTGAACTAAGGATTTCAATGAACCACTTCAGTTACTTTCAGAAAGAAATGGGGAGCAACTAGAGGATTGCAAACAAATATGCTGCCAACTTTCAAAGAGGAAAGAAAAGTAACGAGTAATTACTGCTTGTAAATGTAGCTTCTACTCCTATAAAAATTGAATGCAAAGGAACTACAGCACTGTACCATTAAAGTCACAAGTTCTGCACCAATTTAGGAAGTATCATTAAACTCAGCTTTACTTCACCCATGTGGCATATACACTATATTTCCGATTTTTGTCACTAATCGGAAAACTCCTATGCCACCACATTGCGCCTTACTCCCATAGGTCCCCCATCATCACTGCCATACGTGGGCACAGCCGCTTCTGCCCCGCTCCCCCTTTGCCCCTATCCTGTTTGCTGACTCCTGTACTCTTCTTTCAACCCACATCTCACAAGCCACGTATCCATGCCAAGGCTGAAGTAAACCCTGGTGAGCTCCAGCCATCCTGAGTGGGACCCCTGTAATGCTGTAGCTGCCAAGGAGAGGAGCAGCTCCTTCCCCCAACTGTTAGACAGGAGCTGAGGCAGTATTCTCTACCCAGGCTTTTGCACCAATTCTGAGGGAGGCAGAGGCCAGGACCCCTTGGAGACACCTTGGTGGAGGGCTAGGCAGAGTTCATGCTCTGAGGTCTGAGAGCTCCCCCTCACAAAACATGCAGACACTGGCACTGTAAGCAAAGCCAGATATCTGAATTCCTTTGCATCCAGAGACCAAACAGGTGTATAGGTTCCTCCCAGGCTGCTTTGTTCTTCAGATATATCAACTGTGCTGAAGAAAGTAAGGCACATTTCTGGTTGTTCTAGATTTGTCATCTGCTATCTAGCTGACGACACTCACAGTGCCAGGTACTGTTCCTTGAAAGAGTTCTTGATTTGAATGTGCAACTCTTACAGGTTGTTTCTCAGAAGGTTTTGAGGTGGCCAGCTATATCTGTGTGTAACAAGAGAATGAAATGGTGTTTCCCCCATCCTCCGTGGATTTCCTGATATTTTGGAAACCATTACTGAAATAACGTACCTTTTCTGTTTGTATGTCAACATTGCTTCTGCAATAGGCAACTGGTGTGCACAGTTTGCCCCGGCTATATACTGGGTTATTCTGGAGACAATATCTGGTATTTCCTGAACTGCAACAGAATGAAAAGAAGAGACAGGAGCAGAGTAAGGACTATTCTTCACTAATGGAAACTGCAAAATGTCACCAGCAATTTAAATGATGCAAGATCAACCAGAGCAAGAAAGAAAAATAGGGGACACTGTCAGTCACTTGGTCAAGAATTGGGTAATGAAAAGAGGGACTCAAATTTAGAAAAAGATATTTCAAAACAAGGTGCCAACCAGAGCAGACAGCAAGAAAGACGAACAAGATCAATGCCATGTGCTCCTCCCCAAGAGTTCAGTGTGTGGTTCAACAGCACCCCTTGTTGGGAGAAGAGAGGAGAGGCACCACTGCTTAGCAACATGAGAGTTTCTCTAGTCCTCAGAGCTGAGTGCATGACTTCTGCTAAGGCGATGAACTCGGGAGAAGGAGAATAAGGGGTCACCCGCAGTGTGGTGTAAGGCTCTACCCCCAAGGGGACACAGCATCTGCCTTCTGAAAAGACCCAAAATGCTGATTCCCCTCACACAGAAGAATAGAAGGCAAAACCAGTGTTTTGACAGAGGTGGTCGTGGTTCCATGGTGAAGGCTGAATTGAGTTTTGCATTTAAAATAGGAATTCAGCCTCTTATGTATGAAGAGTACTAAGTATTCTCCTAAAAACGTACGGCACCACTTTTTGAGCTCAGAATGGGTTTTCTGAGAATTCACAAGCAAACCTATTAGTTTAGGTGTTAAAAAATAATTTAAGATGGGTCTTAAAGGGTGCTAAATTTTTTCAGACCATTTTTTGTTCTGAATGTTATTAATGGAAATAATGCAAATTCAGACTTCCCATATGTTAAAACTCACTTAAGTTGTGTGCATTGGCTACATCTGAAGAAGTCTTAACGATTCATGTTTATTTTTTGTCATTCTTCATAAACTTTCTTCAGAGAAGTTCACAAAACTGCCGTCTTTCAAAATGGTTGTCATCTCCTTATGTTCTCAATGGGATTGAGAACCATGAACTAGGATGCCCTCTTCTGGCTTGGCCATCACCAATCATGGTTTCCAATGAGGATGATCTTCCCTGAAGGCTTCACTCCCATTTGATGGCCAATTCAAAAGACAGCCTATTTATCAACAGAGGCACCTGCGGCCCAAATCCCATTGCAGGAAATGGCAGCCATTTTGAAAAAAGGTAGTTCTTCTTGAATTTCTCTGAGGAATGTCATTCAGCAGCCATTGTAGAAACTTTCAGTTATGAAAAACAGCAAAAAATAACCATTATTCCAAAAAAACCTTCAGATTTGTCCTATGCTCATAAAGCACTGAGTAGAATTTTCTGGAGAAAACGGATTTTGTTTAAATAAATTACAAGCCTTTGAAAATTCCACTCTACATGTAAAGCACAATTTTACACAGAGTTCTCTCTCACTCTATCTGTAAAATGCACAGCTATGGAAGGTCATGCTGCATGTGCTTATCCATTACAAAAAACACATTTTCTTCTTCAACCTTGCAGTAACGCATGCGCCACTACACGTGTCTGTGCATGCCACATAAATGGAGTTCATTATAAGGAAAAACATAGTAAGTTCTTACATAGGCATAAAGAAAAAGTTTTACAGGCACATATAGCTTAAATTTGGAGGTACGCCAGTCTCACTAGCAACTAAGGCAGTGCTGCTGGTTGAAGAGAAAAATCTGTGTGGTTTTGGACTATAATACATACCTTATGGAAGATATCAGTTGTAACTTTGTTGGTGTTGCAAGGAGAGTTTCTAAGCTTTATTTTTATCCAACAGCCACCAACTTAATAGAAACAAGCTATTCTGACCTTATGTGCTTCCTCAGACAATTTTTTTTCTTAGACTTAATCTCTAGAACAAGGACACAAACTAATCAAAACTGACTTCTTTTCCCAATCTAAGAATGTCAGCATTTTCTCCCTAAAAGTTAACTCTTTGCAGCCTATGACCAACGACTTTTGTAGATGCCGAAACAAAACTGAATATTGGACAATTCAGAAAAGAATAGATTTCAAATAAAACGTTTGGGAAAGTGCATTGGTATGGAATGAATGGTTGTCAAAAAGTCTGCCATGCAAAGCTTTATATATGTAGCTTTATTTGCTGAAAACCTTACATGCTAAAGCAACTGCATTGATGCTGAACTGGTTCACCCGTGAGCCAGTTCCATTCTTCTCCCTCAAGACTTTAAGGAGCTAAATCAGGAAAATGCCTACACCCTTAGTTCCCAGTACTTTAACAAGTTGCTCTGCTCACTGAAGTCTCTGGACAACCTGACTTCCTAATTAACTCTCATAGCCCTGCTGAGTGCCTAACTGAGAATACAGAAAAATGCCAGGTTAGGAATATCAATGATAAAATACTTTAGAGTTTAAAAATTAAATACATTAGTGATAAGCTGAAAGTTTGTAAGCTTGTACTTGTCAGAGTCAAGGTTGTGTGTGAAGTGTGTATGGTGAATTTTTACGTCAATGTTGTCATTAACATTGATGATTAATTGTAAAAGTAATGGAAAAGAGGAAGTTGCTTCCCTATAACTGGAAGTTCTTCTAGATGTGTGCTCTCTATTTGTATTCCAAACACAAGTGCGCATGAACGCCATGCGCTAAGTTGCAAGATTTCTGTAGCAGTGTCCATCAACTCACACATGCACCACATGTAGCCTCGTGGTGCAGGCAAGGTTATATGAGGCTGCGCGGGGCGACACTCCGAGTCATAAACCCAGGGTTGTGAGTTAAATCCTTGAGGGGACAAAAACTTAGGGATCTGGGGCAAAATCAGTACTTGGTCCTGCTAGTGAAGGCAGAGGGCTGGACGCAATGACCTTTCAAGGTCTCTTCCAGTTCTAGGAGATAGGATATCTCCATTAATTTGGGGGGGAGGGATGGCTCAGTGGTTTGAGCGTTGGCCTGCTAAACCCAGGGTTGTGAGTTCAATCCTCAAGGGGGCCACTTAGGGATCTGGGGCAAAAATCTGTCTGGGGATTGGTCCTGCTTTGAGCAGGGGGTTGGACTAGATGACCTCCTGAGGTCCCTTCCAAACCTGAGATTCTATGATCCTCTTACTGATGACCACAGCAGAGGGGATGGAGGGTGGGTGGGTATTGGAATACAAATAGTGACCACAGATCTCAAAGAACCTCCAGTTACAGGTAAATAACCTCCTCTTTTTCTTCTTCGAGTGATGGGCCCTATATGTATTCCAAGCACATGCGAGTAGCAAGCAATGATCAGTGCGGAGGGGGGTGCGAGGATGCAAGAGGTATAGCAGTCTGGAGGATGGCACAACCCACAGCTGTATCAACTGCCACTCCCGGGCTATGGCATAGCGGATGGTGAAAGGTGTGCACAGAATGCCACATTGCCGCCCAGCGGATGTCATGCCAGGATACATCCACCAGGGAGGTGGACGCAGCTGCTTGCACCCACGTTGAGTGTACCGTAATCCAGCCAGGCATTCTCAGATGCATGCTTGGCCCCAGGATCTGTCCGCAATGGCCACGAAGAGGTGTGGAGGTAGTCCAGGATGGCAGGGTGGCGATGGTATCAAGGGGAAGGCGATGGTGCTGAGCCCAGGAGGTGAAACTGTGTAGGACGCTCTGGTGGAGGTCTGCCTCCTGTGCATAAGAATGCGTCACACCAGTGTCAAACAGACTTGTCTATGCATGAGCCCCATCCAAAAGCCTGGCTATGAGATGAAGGGGACCAGGGTTGGGGTGACAGACACTGCCCCGGTCCTGGGTGAGGAGGTCTGGGAGCAGGCATAGAGCCTTAGGAGATCCAGAAACCAAAACTGACTAGGCCAGAATGGGGCGATTAGGATAATCGTGGCCTGGGGTCTTGTCAGATACTAGGGGTTACAGTGGATGAGAAGCTGGATACGAGTCAACAGTGTGCCCTTATTGACAAGAAGGCTAACGGCATTTTGGGCAGTATAAGAAGGAGCATTGCCAGCAGATCGAGGGACGTGATCATTACCCTTTATTCGGCATTGGTGAGGCCTCATCTGGAGTACTGTGTCCAGTTTTGGGCCCCACACTACAAGAAGGATGTGGAAAAATTGGGAAGAGTCCAACGGAGGGCAACAAAAATGATTATGGGGCTGGAGCACATGACTTATGAGGAGAGGCTGAGGAAACTGGGATTATTTAGTCTGCAGAAGAGAAGAATGAGGGGGGATTTGATAGCTGCTTTCAACTACCTGAAAGGGGGTTCCAGAGAGGATGGATCTAGACTGTTCTCAGTGGTACCTGATGACAGAACAAGGAGTAATGGTCTCAAGTTGCAGTGTGGGAGGTTTAGGTTGGATATTAGGAAAAACTTTTTCACTAGGAGGGTGGTGAAGTACTGGAATGGGTTACCTAGGGAGGTGGTGGAATCTCCTTCCTTAGAGGTTTTTAAGGTCAGTCTTGACAAAGCCCTGGCTGGGATGATTTAGTTGGGGATTGGTCCTGCTTTGTGCAGGGGGTTGGACTAGATGACCTCCTGAGGCCCCTTCCAACCCTGATATTCTATGATCTTCTGTAGGACCTGGGGAAGGAGGGAAATGGGGGTGGAAGGCAGGAGTTTGCTGCAGCAAGGCAGGAGGAGGGCATTGCCTTGGGAGCCGGGCTCCATGGCCCCCAGGGAACAGTAGAGGGGGAACTTGTGGTTGTTGCACATGGCAAAAAAGGTCCCATCGAGGGGTGTCCCTGGCATGGCAGAGGGAGTGGAGAGTGGGGTCATGGAGTTCCCCCTTGTGACTGATGTACCAATGCTGGCTGACCACACTGGTCAGGGAGTTCTGTGTGCACGGGAGGTAGGCCGCATGGAGCATGACATAGTGGTGGATACACCAGTTCCAGAGGCAGATGGATTCTGTACAGAGTGACAGGGATTTGGTGCCCTCTTGCCTGTTGATATAGGCCACTGCCATGGTATTGTCAGAGAGGAGCTGAACATGAGTGGCACGGGTGAGAGGCCGGAACAGACAGGCCAAGCGGACCGGTCAGAGCTCCAGTACATTGATGTGTATG